CATTCTTTCTTTGAACTTGGCAGAAATCATCGTGTTTTACAAAATACGCGATCACACTCAGAATCAATGTTTTAGATTGATCATTGAATCATTTCACCATTATGATATAAGGAATTCGAAATATTATTGATGGATAACCCAGTACTTAATTGTTTGACAATAAGTCACAGTGACAATTCAATGATCAAAATATATGAATCAAGTTCCGACGTACCTTTTTCTAGTGTTTTTCTGTCTCATTCAGCTTGCGATGAATAAAAAGAAACAGATTTTGCCTTGGTGTATTTCCACGACTATATAGCCGTAGAGAAAAAACTGTTTTTCTAATTTTGACATGTAATGTGACACTTTTCAAAACTGACGGAAGTTTTGAAACGTCTTACTTTACGTAACCAGTTGCGTAAAGTAAAATTTTACATAACTGGTGATGTAATGTTCATTTCATTCATTCATTTCACACAACAAGAGTCGGCAGAACTCATGTAAAACTGGTCATTATTTTTGTTCATGCGAAATGTTTCGTCAAAATTAGAAAAAATATTGTACGTGACACGTTAGGAAACGCCATTTTGTGTAACTCTGTGATGTTGCGGGATCTCGCTTCGCTCGTCCCGCAAAACCCCATCGTTACACAAAACAACGCGTTTCCTAACTGATTACGTAAATATCTATTTTAATTCTACAACTGTGTAAGAGAGAGTGATAATAGTCTATCGAATACATCGTTCGGTATGGTGATTACATCGCGTTATTCTGTGTTGTGTCGGTGTTTTGTGAAGTGTTTTGAGAATTAATATGTGGACTACATGCAGATTTCATACTGGTGAGTTTTTTAATCTTTTCTAACACGTGATACGCACTTTGCGAGAAAATAAATCTATTTCTATACCTACTTCAAGGAACCAAAAATTAATCTAGCAATACATAGTGAGAACTAGTCTTCTCACAAGAACAGTGTTTTCGTGAAGTACTGAATTAATTCATTAATTAGCCCAATAATATTGTCCAGCCCTGAACAGGAATCTTCTGAGACAAGGCGATTTTTGTTTTCAATTTTCCACATTTATAAGGGAAAAATTGAATGAACAGGGTTATTCACTTTTGAGTAATGACGTACGCGACAATTTTATCAAATGGACTACCTCATATATTTTTAAAAAACCCTTAAATTAACCTCTATGGGAAGCTGAATAGTACAAATCTCGGTACAAATATATCACACGTTGGCTTTGTATACAGTTTGTGTCTCAATTCTAATGGGAGCACTCCTGTATCTTTCGTTAAAGTAGAGTTAGGATTTTGAAATTTTCAAGGCATACCGGGTGACACAGACTCATAGTATACCCATCTTTTCTTCTTTGGTTTTCTAGCAATATTCCTGAAATTTGAAACATCGAATATGCTCACTAGAGGGCACTTTCCTCATATTAGGAATTTTTCATCTCATATTCCGGATTTCCTGGAAAAAAATCAACTTTCGATTTTCAGATGAAACACCATCTATTTCATCCCATAATGGGTTAAGGATTATTGTAACGAATTCAACAATATCGGGTTTGATTGGGTTATTTCAATCGATTACGAAGATATTCGCGTTCGAAGTTTCCATATGCTCAATGGGTTTGACGGTGCAATATCGAAACTGCTTTCTCTGTCACACTCATTGAGCTTATGGAAACTTCGAACGCGAATATCTTCGAATCGTTCAAAATATCCCATTCAAACCCGGCATTGTTGAATTCGTTATAATCATCCCTAACCTATTATGGAATAAAATACATAGACTTCCATTTGAACATCGGAAGTTGATGTATTTTCCGGGATAACCGGAAAATAAGAAAATTCCTAGAATATGAGAAAGTGTCCTCTAGTGAGCATATCCGATGTTTCAAATTTCAGGAATAAAGCTAGAAAAACAAAGGCAAAAAGGAGGGTATGTATACCATACACCGGGTATACCGAAGGCAAGATAAGTTGAAAATCACTACGGATTCTAAGGCAGGGCGTTACACAAAAATATAGTTTGAGTACAGTGCGTCATATTTTTTCTGAAAAATTTCCAGATTTGTAAAAATAAATTTTGTCACTCTTTTTCATGGAAGCACCCCCGTATCTTAGGTAATCATCGAGGTAGGATTTCGAGATGATCGCCTCAAATGACCCTGTATATCAAATGTTTCATCCCACCTCCCGTATACTTCAGTTTATCATTATTATTATTATTAGTTATAGATAAATAGTTGTTCAGGAATTAATAGGATAGAAAGGTGACGTAACTAATAACTCATTCCGGACCAACCGGACGAGGTGGTGTATCATGTCAGTCGTGTGTAACATGTCATCGTGTACGGTCGGTCAGTCTACTTAAAAAGTGCTCGTATCAGTTTCAAGCAAGAATCTAGTGCATATCGCGAAATAGTATACAGGACTTTTCACGATGAACGTTAATTAGATATTTCTGACAATATAGTTTGAGGCTACTTTTGTTGAGCCTTCCATCGATTTTTTCGTTTATTATTTTTTCAAAAAATTTCCCAAATCCAATATGAGCATGACAAACCAATAGCAAACCAAAAAAAGTTCAATCATGAAATCAATTATGCCATTATTGAAATGCAATAATGCACATGAATAAAAATTGTATCCAATGAAATGTTACCTCCAAATATAGTAAAACGGCTTTCCATAATATCCTTTATTTTTCACATTCATCATATTTGTTTACAAATATTCAAGTTTACCTTTAACCACCTTCACCATCAACTATGGAGTTGGTAAAGGTGGTTAAAGGGAAGGTACACGGATAAAAACAATGAAATATCGGATAGGGTTGGATACGGGACTGGACCTAACTCGATGAGATTAGACAGAAACAGACATAAACTGGACATAAATCGATCAAGATTCAATAATTGTCAAAGTTTTATGAGTGGTAAAAACATGCTTTAAAAGACTCACGAGAGTATGAATGAGTAGGTCGCGTGACTAGCGTCTGCGGACAGCCGCAAGTAATAACTCCGTGGTAGGGGAACGTTAGTTAACTTGTGTCGAGTCTAATATAAGGAAGGAATTTTTTTTTAACAATCAATCGACCTAGATGAACCTTTTTTCTTGAAGAAGGAGAATTTTTCTTGAGGAAGGAAAATATTGTTTCTGCATAAAAAATGAAAAAAACCTAACCTATCTATTTTATGAGTATATCTGTACTTTTTTTTTTTTTTTTTTTATCGATTGGAGCGCACGAAAGGGAATCCCTATAATGTTCAAAGAACATCGTGCGTTCCTAGGGAGGATAGGGACAGGAGGTAGGTATTGGAATTTTTTTTGAATTTTTGGAGATTATATGTTCTTGGGAATACTTCCACAGGCAATGAATTCCAGAGCCTAGCCGTTCTATGGATGAAGGAGTCTTGATAAAGAGCTGTTCGACATCTTTCGAGGTTGACAACGAAAGGATGTGCTGACTGGGCTTGTCTAGTTCGTCTGATTGGTATTGCTAGTGAAGGGATGATTGCAGAGATTTCCGAAGAACATTTCCCGTGGAAGTATCGATAGAAAAGTGAAAGGTTGCCGACTTGTTTCGTTGACCTGTGTAGAACTTGATGTTTATTAACACCAAATAAAATATTCTAGAAGGAGAATTTTTCTTGAGGAAGGAAAATATTGTTCCTGCATAAAAAATGAGAAAACCTAACCTATCTATTTTATGAGTATATCGATATCTGTACTTGTTTCGTTGACCTGTGTAAAACTTTATGTTTATTAACACCAAATAAAATATTCTATTCTATTCTAACCTAACCTAACCGAACCTCACCTCTGGCCTAAACATAGAAAACCCCTAAATGATCCTACTTCCCATAGAGAATATTTTTTAGAAATCACTAATAAAAAAATAAGGAAAAGATGAGCCGCGCACGGATTCGATCCCCGGCCCGCCGGCTTGGCAAACCGATGCTCTGCTTACTGAGCCAACCAGTTGCTTACGAAACGAAGTATGATGAAGTCATTCAGTCGGCGCCGCATAACGCCAGTCGCATCTATTGCCCACTATAACGTTCTCCCACCACGGAGTTATTACTTGCGGCTGTCCGCAGACGCTAATGGTCGCGTGCACGATCACTGACCCTGGAGGCAAAATATTGGAACACAACCTCACTCGTCTGTGAATCATTGAAACACAACCTCATCCCTTTTTGTATATGTTTATAGAGGAATCAAAGGATTTAAATAGTTTTTCACAATATTTTGGTATACAAAACGTAGTTGTTGCTCTATTCATTAATTCAAGTATGCTTTCGGCGCATTGTGCTGTTATACAATGCACAAAAAATTCAGCGAGAGATGAAGGAATATGATTTTTCAGGTAAATAGTAATCTCACATAGTTTTCATTATGAAATGTAGTCATTTCTTATTAAAATTCCTTCTGCCTTCTGCCACTTCTGCAATTGCATTAATTCAGAAATTTCACGAGTATTCCTATTAGGTCCTATTGCAGAAGGAAATTCCGATGCGAAATCAGGGAAATTACCAAAATTTCGAAATGAAAACTGTAAGTATGTGAGTGACTATAGTAGGTACTTACTCTTAGTACTTACTTTTAAATCATGATGTACCAACTGGATTCCTTCGTCTTCTACTGCGTTTTTGTGCATTGTACAAGAGATTGAGATCAGAATCGACCTGTTTCAGAATTACACCTCGATCAATCCGCAACATAAATCGATAATATATTCCACGTCATTATACTGTCAGCAGCAGCAGCCATCATAATCTTTCAAGATACTGCCGCAATATACTCGCTATAGTTCAGTGGCAGCAACTCGCAGTCTTCCAATGTCAGCACGAGAATCTGTATTCTGTCACTATCAACGTCAACTGTCAATGCCGTCAATCGTGCTATCTGTGAACGTTGTGGTCTGTGATCAAACGTCAAATGTCAAATCTCGGAAGCAATAAATAAACAATATGTAGTTAATTTGTTTACATTCTTCTCGTACACGAATTTCGTTTAAACTACACAAATATAGTGAAACATCCCGGAAAATGACGACTTCGGAACAAATAGGACTGAACAAAACTTGGGAACTTTCCCTTTACGAGTTGCATCGCACCCCACAAGAAGCGATCACTGATAACACAGAGATCGCTGTCTCTCCAAGAAGTCTTCACAGTGAGCTTATGTGCCCAATATGCTTGGATATGCTGAAAAAGACCATGACCACCAAAGAATGCTTGCACAGATTCTGCTCGGAATGCATCATCACAGCTTTGAGATCTGGGAATAAGGAGTGTCCCACTTGTAGAAAGAAACTTGTGTCAAAGAGGTCCTTGAGGCCTGATCCTAATTTTGACTTATTGATATCCAAGATATATCCCAGTCGGGATGAATATGAAGCTCACCAGGAGCGTGTTTTAGCAAAACTCAATAAGAGCCATTCCAGGGAAGCTCTTGTGCAATCAATCAAAGAGGGAATTAAAATGCAGTCACAGAATAGGCCCAATAGAGGGAGAAAAACAAATGATCCAAATGTGGCTGATAATCAGGATGAAAATGCTCCTATTGTACCTAATAATGCCAGTGAAAATGTGGTAAGATTATTGTATATTCTGTTTTGTAGCTTATTTTTAATGCTGTGCCAAAAATATACAAAATTCTTGACTCTGGAAATAGTTCCTGAAATCAGCAAACCAGAGACAATGTCCAAACTAATATAGGCATCTATTCATAGAGATTTTGTGATGATGATGCATTTATTATTATTATTTGCCCTTCATCTCAATTTTTCAACTATAATAATTCAATACTGTCTGTAGGTTAATCGAGGAGGTGGTATATTCATTATTCCAAATTTTTTGGGATTTTCTCTCCTCGTTTCTATAAAATAAAAATATGAATATTATTTCAATATACGTGTAGTAAGGACAAATCAGATGATTTGCCCCAAAATGTCACTGCGTTTAAAGAATTTTCCTATCAGAGAGCCTAAAAGAAAAATTCACTAGCTTGTCAGTGACAATTTGTATTGAAAAAATTTTTGGAGAAGGGAAATAAAGGTATATAGAAAGAATATCAAATTTTCACTTATCTTGAAGCTTTTCAGTTTTCAATGAAAACTGAAAAGCTTCAAGACATTATACGACTTCGCTATTGAAATAATCTCTTCTTATGTTGAAAACGGGAGCAGAACCGGTCCCGAAACGTCCAAAGATAAGTGAAAATTTGATATTCTTTCAATATACCTTTATTTCCCTTCTCCAAAAATTTTTTCAATACAAATTGTCACTGACAAGCTAGTGAATTTTTCTTTTAGGCTCTCTGATAGGAAAATTCTTTAAACGCAGTGACATTTTGGGGCAAATCATCTGATTTGTCCTTACTACACGTATATTGAAATAATATTCATATTTTTATTTTATAGAAACGAGGAGAGAAAATCCCAAAAAATTTGGAATAATGTATAATAATTCATTTGAATATACTGCAAATTAATAAAGAAGTTATGGACTGGGTTATAAATATATTGCTCACTTTTTTGTTTACTTTATTATTGTATTGATAATTTAGCAATAGCGAGTTTAAGTGTGTACTTGTAGTATTTTGGTAGGTACTTATTCATTTACTGGTTTCAATCCCAGTCACCATTGATAAATCAATCTTTTCTAGTGATTAAACCTCACAAAATATCAACCATTTTGAATAATTTTTTTATTTTTTCAGGACATTTCTGTTTTCATTCAAAGAGTTGTTGCATACATATCTCTATATCAATTTTTATTGTTTTCTTTTTATTGAACAATTGCTAACTGTGAAATCCTTATTGGCTCAATATAAGAAATCCTAAACCTAAATGCTTAGGTGAAATGTTGAAGAATAACTACAAAGAGCTAGCCAAGGAGTTATCACTTTGAAACTTATATTTCTTCACCATATTTGGAGCTACAACTTTGACATGTTGAGTCAAATCATCAAAGCAGAAACATCAAATACCTAAACTAAAATTCTTGATATTTGTAAGTAGTCAAGGTATTCAAGACAAGTAATGAAAGAGTACTTGAACATCCTATTTTTAAGATAATGAACATATTTGAGGTACTTAAAAGTATTTGAAATAATCAAGAAAGAGACAAATTAATGAAAGAGTAATGAAGAATTTTTGAAGAGACAATACAGGTGTTCTTAAGTGTTTGTAAATTAACTGCAAGATATTGAAAAATCTTTCAGAATACTGAGCAAGAAAATTGAAATAATGAGAAAGTAGTTTATTTAGCAAAAAATACTGGAATTCATCTACACATCTTATAAATCAAGAAAATAGGCTAGTGTACTAATTATTTTTATTTCTTCAATAGAATCGTCACTCAAATACCATTCAATTCCATAGTTCTTAAGATTTTTTTGGTTAGAAATTTACCGCCAGTAAATGTGATTGGGAACTTCAGAAATATTAGTTTTTCTCAAATTCTCAATTCAGTTCCTATTGGTAATATTCGCCTAATTAGCGATAAAAATTCAATTTTCTCAAAATGTTCCCTTATGATTTGTGGCTTACTGATTTTAGTAAATTTGTGAAAATAATAAATATATTAATTGACACAGAGGACATTGAATCCATTCTCAGATTCAAAACAACACGGCGCACAACTTGGGGGCGTGGTCTTGTCAGTTCTTAGCATTTTGCACAATGTTGCCAAGTCTCCAACATTTACGTGATATTTTGTCATGGAGAATAAGAAATATTTGGACATTCATGAGAAGTGTTGCAAAAACGTTGAACAGTATGATGCAATAAAATGAAAGAAATAAATGCATTTGTAGCCAAACTGTCCATTTTTGAGAAATAGTCCGAAACAAGTCCATATTTATTTCCATTTTTCCACATTCATAATGTTGATCCACGTTTGAGCTCTGACGTCCATGACAATTGGATTATTTTGAACATTTGTTTTATGGATTTTCTCCAATCAGAATGCTAAATTTGTATCTCCTTGTATATTTATTGAACTGATGAGACCTGTTATCAATGCACACTCCTTATTAGTTGACTGCCTCCCAAATTTCAGAGCATAACCTCTCAAGGATTTTGAAATATTCAATAAAATCTGAAAAAAAAATTCAATTCATCACCCTCTCATGGCCTAACGGTGCAGTTTGGTATAAAGGTAAGTTTATCCCAATCGACCTATTTTGAACTTTAGTTCACCCTGTTGAATTTAATGTTCGTTGTTCTGGGGACACCCGGTATATACCATATATTTCTTACTATGGGTTGCGTGCAAGATGACCGACCCTGGAGGCACAACATTGAAACACAACCTCACTTTTTTTATTTGTTTACAAGTGATTGAAATGGTTTTTCACAATTATTTTGGTATATGAATTGTATTTTTCGACTATTCATTAATTCGCTCATGCTATCACATTGTGCTGTTGTACAATGCACAAAAACTGCAGCGGAAGACGAAGGAATCCGGTTGGTACATTATGATTTAAAAGTAAGTACCTACTATAGTCACTCACATATAGTTTTCATTTTTGAAATTTGGTAATTTCTCTGATTTCTCATCGGGATTCCTTCTGCAATAGAAGTACTCGTGAAATTTCTAAAATAATGCAAGCAGATGGATTCATGCAATCTAAACGGGAGGACTGGTCTGACATGCTGACGAAATAAGATCATGTGTGTTGTAGACATTTTCAATCTATTAGCAGTAATAGCTAGTATTGCAGAAGTGGCAGAAGGAATTTCAATAAGGAATGACAACATTTCATAATGAAAACTATGTGAGATTACTATATTTACCTGAAAAATCATATTCCTTCGTCTCTCGTTGCATTGTACAACAGCAAAATGCGAAGGCATGCTTGAATTAATGGATAGCGCAAAAAACACGATTCGTATGATAAAATATTGTGAACAACTATTTCAATCCTTTGATTCCTCTATTCGCGAGATTCACGAAGTGGACGACATCTAGGTTACATAATACCTCGCATAATACGAACTTCATACTGGGGAAAAACAAACTGTTGTCTATACATTGCATTCAGCTTGCTGTAGCTGTAGTCAAACTTGTCAATAACATAAAGTGTTGGCACTGTTGGTAGTGATGATGGTTGAGTTGGTTAATTTTTTTACATCATTATATTTTTATTAGTTTACTGAACAGTGAACGGGTGAAGAATTGGAGATAGTTCAAACAATTCAATCTAATTATGACGAGCAAATCAATTGACATATAAAAGAACAGCTACAACATGTTTACAATACCCAGATTGTCCTGCTTTACATGAACAAATACAAATCCATTGTTCTACAGGAGTTTCTCTGGACCCCAACTTCAATTTTACTTCATGTGGGAATGATTTCATCACCGAAGTTTGTAGACAAAGTGCAAACATGTGCCTTCTGTTGAAGTCTTCTGCCTCACACAAAATCACATGATTAGTACAAAGAACTGCTTCTCCTTCCACTACTGTTTGGCTTTTTCCATCTAAATAGAGCAAAATATCTGCGAAAACAACATCTACAACAGGCATTATTAGCGTTTACGATCGAATATTTACAATTAATGTAAAGAAATTCGAAAACTTATCACTCTCATCAGTACAAAGTACACAAGCTAATGGCACTAATGGGATTGAGTGAGGATTGAGTTTGTTTTCCCCTAGTTTTGACGTGGCTTTGAAATGGAACGATGAAAATCGAGCGCCACCTGGTAACATTGATTCCCGCGAATAACATTCCACATGCCTAAATGTAGAGGTTCCTGAGATATTTGAAAAAACTAAGAATGTGTCTTGAGGTAATACCACAGCTTTCAAGTGAGTAAGCTGTGGTAATATTGAGTAGAGACCAAATTTGCTACGTGCCATGACACTATTTACGTGTCACTATAAAATGAGCACGACCACATAAAGAACGATAATAAGTTAGAAAAATAACAAATGAAACATACCTTAAAAATGACCAGGCGACCACTTTTCACTTAGCTTGAATGGAAAAACCAAAAAGGTTCATATGCATAAAGTTGCAGTTGACAGGAAGTGTTATAAGTATTACTTGGACAGAGTCGTTCGATTTACTCTCCAGAAGCAAAACATATGGGCCAAAAAAACAACGCGCAAAAACCGTTCGTTGTGGCGATCGAATCGGTTTTGAAAACTAGTTATTATTTGCGATATGTATGGCAAACATTGGCAACCCACACTACACCTGACTGCTACCTAGGTGGCATAATTCTTTCCTAGATTTATATGAACAAATACGCGATCACTGACCTATACCAAACCTATAACAAACCATGGTTGCCCCAAGGGTCAAATCTTGGACCTTTATTATTCATTATTTTCATTAATGACATCGATCAATGCTTCCATGATTCTAAATTTTTGTTGTATGCTGATGACCTGAAACTTTTCACAAGAATTATGTCGTTGGACGATTGTATGAAACTCCAGAACGATCTTGATAGGTTAGATGTGTATTGTAAAAAGAATAGATTATTTTTGAACTCAAGGAAATGTTGCAGTATGAGCTTTGCTAGGAATCAGAACCCTATTACATTTGATTATAATCTGAATGGTACCCATTTGGAAAAAGTATCTTATATTAAGGACCTTGGAGTTATTTTCGATTCCAAATTGAGTTTTGCAATGCATATTGATTATGTTACTAACAGATGCAATAGAATGTTAGGTTTTATTAAAAGAACTTGTAAATATTTTCGGTCTCAAAATTCAATCAAAACATTATATTATGCCTACGTATATAGCCGATTATGTTTTGCAAGTGTCATTTGGAGTCCTTATTATACCAACCACAAAGTCCGATTGGAGAGAATTCAAAATAATTTTGTGAGATTTCTGAACTTTAGAGTGAACAATTCATTTGTTGTAGAGAGTATTAACCAAACCAGATGCTCTTTTGGACTTATAACCTTGGAGCAACGTAGAATTATGTCTGATTTATTATTCATCTATAAAATAATGAGGAATCATTTTAGTTCTTCTATGTTGTTATCGCTCATATCATTCCATGTACCGTCTAGACCCACAAGACTTAAAATATTTTTGAATGTCAATTTTTGTCATACCAATTTGGGACTGAACTCGCCAATGAGTAGAATGAGTGATAATTTTAATAAATACTGCAGCAACGTAGATATACATTGTACATCATTGAATCAGTTCAGGGCACTCATTAGAAACCGTATATTCGTCTGATTGATCTGAATTCGGAATTTATTTTTGTTTTATTTTCAGGTACTGAATGTTCAATATTATCGTGATATTAACTTTGTAAAATGTAAGCATCATCGCAGAGTATTCTGCGTAACTAGTGGATGCAGTCTTGGGCTTCTGCCTGTTTGTATCCCATTTTCATTAAATAAATAAATAAATAAATAAATAAATGGTTTTGTTACAGAATGACATTTCTGGGAAAACGTCAACTTTGTGTTGGAATTTGAAAGCGTCAAAGGTTACTTTGTTAAGCGTTTGTATAAAAAAATAATTTTTTATGTGATTTGCTCTTCTTGACTCAGCCACCCGTGCAACTCAACCCCGTTGCCCCCCAAGCGGCTGCCCCTGCCGCGCCCACCCCGCCGCCGCTGGCCACGCCCGCCCCCACCTTAGGAGCGGTCCCGGTCCCGCCCCCCGGCCACGCCCATCCGCCCAGTCCGTCTCCGTCTGGGCGCAGCACGCCCTCGCAGCCGCCCAGTCCGGTGTCGTCCAGCGTCAGCTCTGTTGCCAAGTCGTTCGGTAAACGGCCCAAAAGGTAAGGAGACAAGAGGAGGAATTCATTTTGCAAGGAAAATTAATGAAGAATTACGATTTTGTTTTGAAAAATAATTATTTTCCGTCGACCTCGTATTAACGACTAAGTTTAATGTTCATGAAATCGTTCATTATTGACCCCTATCATAGTGGAAGGAGAAGATGGTGTGCCTACGCGCATATTATGTGACGTCATATGGGATACCAATATCAGCTGGTAGTCACAGACAGATACCGTTGCCATAGGCGTGCGCAATGAATTCAATCATGTTTATTGAAATTTCTATGAGTTTCTCGATCTGTTTGGGATGATTCAATTTATATAAACAGGTACCTATTCCTTCGATTTTACTATTTCATTGATTCTGGAAATTGTGATCATGAGGTAATTCGCAATCGCAAATAGCAAATACATACAAATTATCATGCATTGCCAATCCCATCTGAATGATCCACTACTGGCAGATTAATATTCAGCAGTTAACGACGTTGACGTTGCTTCTGCTTCGACATCGACAACAGGAGTATCAATTTTTGCCGTTTTGTTATTCAAATCTTCGCTGCAATTTATATTTTGTGAGAAATTAAGAGTTTTGAATTCATTTTCAATTATTTCTGACTTGATATTCGACTGAAGATGTTCTGTAGGAATGGCATCTAGTTTCAAGTATTTGTGATTTTTTGGAGGTGTAAGTCAAGAACCGTACTTTCGCAGCTGTTTGGGAACATTTTGCATGGAAATGTTTTGAAGAAATACGTGCTGTAATATGAATGTGATGATAATATGATAGGTGAATACTTTGGAATGAGGATATAAGGAATATAAGGTAGGTACCATTATTTAAGTTTATATTCTGTCGGCAGCAAGCTCCCATCGTTTCATTAGGTCTTCATTCTTGGAAAAGCAGAAAAATTCAATATCTGTGCCTTTTGTATGTTAGTTGGAATTTCCATAACCAGAAACGAAAAAAGTAAGCATTTCGAAATTATTCTATTCAATTTTAGTACTTATATAATATCTGAAGTTCGAGACATCAATCACAAAAACAAATAATAACAATGACAGTTATATCCCAGCTGACGTCATGCGCAGAACAAGACGAGTTTGAGCTTTCTGTTGAGCACACCATCTTCTCCTTCCACTATGGGCGCAGCTCGGCGTTTAGGAAGGAAAGGCGATTTTATTCGTCTATACGAATTATTGCATAGATTTCGGGGGGATGTAATCCAATATTCGGCACAATTTGCTCACTGGTCGGCGATAGCTAGATGTTTTCGTCATCACTTGAGAAACTAGTATCCGACCATCTGGTCCTGGAAAGACGGCGTCTATTCTTCCCATTTTCCATGAATTTCTTGGGGCGTTGTCTCCTACAATGATTACAACGTCGCCTATTTTCAAGGATTCTTGATCGTCAATCCATTTCGATCTTCTGGATAATTCGGGAAGATACTCTTTTACCCACTTCTTCCAAAAGGCATTTATCAACGTTTGTGATTTTCTCCATGCTTTTCGAAGACTGCCACCTTCATCACAGGGTGAGCTAATATAATTGCCACTACCAATTAGGAAGTGATTTGGAGTCAACCGTTCCGGATCGGAAGGACGATAATTGACAATATTCTCGACTTCTGCAAAGAGTGTTAGAAGAATCTCATCTCGCAAGGACTGTTGATGCAATATGCTTCCAATGGTATTCTTCACTAGTCCAATAAGTCGCTCCCAAGAACAGCCCATATGTGGAGCAGCTGGAGAATTGAACTTGAACAACATGCATTTTGACGACATTTCATCATTTATTGCCAAATTGTCCACTTCAGCTATCGCTTTACGAAGTTCTTCTGATGCAACTCGTAAGTTGGTCCCATTATCACAGTAAATGGTATTTGGTGTCCGTCTTCGTGATATCATTCTTCGAATCGCCATGATAGCCGAATCAGTAGTTGAACTGTGAGCGACTTCCAAGTGTATGGCCCTTACTGCTAGGCATGTAAATAATACTCCCCATCTCTTCTCGCTTCTTCTTCCTACAGCTACTTTGATTGGTCCAAAATAGTCCATTCCAATGTTGATAAACGCATGAGTGCCTGGTGTTAGTCGAACTGCTGGTAGCTGACCCATTTGTGGAATTACTGGCTTTGCTCTAGATCTCCTGCACTTCATACATTCGGAAAAGTTCAACTTGATAGCATTTCTTCCATCGATGATCCAATATTTTTGACGAATATCGGTCAAAATGGATTCTACTCCTTGGTGATGGAATTTTTCATGATAATCCAGGAGTAAAAGTTTGGTATATCTATCCTTGGGACACAGTATATACGGATTTTTTGCAGAACTCTCTATACAACCAGCTAGATTCGTTCTTCCTCCAAGAACCAACAAACCGTCTGTGTTCAACATAATGCTTTCAAACGGCTCTGCTTGTTCAAGGGTACCAAATTCTTCAGTTTTTCTATCTCTTCTGGAAAACTCCCGGACTGTGACCTTTCTCAGACAAAATCTTTCAGTCAACGATAATTCAGCTACTGATAGACCAAATGTATCGATGTCTTCGTCATTTTCACCAATTTTCTTCATCAAGATTCTGAAGAATCTGATAATCCATCTTGTAATCCTTATGAGACGTTTCCACTTAGAAAATCTATTTACGTCTGGCAGAAAATCGTCATAAGTCATCATGACAGCGACAAATTCAGCTTTCTTTTCAAGAAATCCTCTTTATACAGGGTGTTTCATAGGTAAAGGGAAATATTCCAATGGTAGATAGGGGTCACCACGGTGGTTCTGAAAATACCATATTTGATAGGTCTAAGAGTCTTCATAACGGAGATACAGGGCGATTTATCGATTTCGAATAAATATTCATTCGTCGATAAGTATTGAACTACCCAGTATATTTTTCTAAAATTCGGCATGGAGCTTATACTTGGGACTTTGAATTCATTCACCTATCGGGTGAAGTGAAAATCCAGGTTCGGCTTCAGGAAAAATTTACATTTATTCGAAATATTAAAATAACACACTGTATGTAATAATTGACAGAGTTCATCGAAGGAATCGTAGAGAGGAGGAAAAACTGAACTGGATTTGATGCTTTTTGTTTTCCCGCCACCAATTCTCATCGTAACAATCATAAACAGAAAGCTAAAAGTATGTCAATTTGAAGAGTATTGAAATTATGAAACCACTTTCAATTATGATTATTTGATATATTCTTGTTGAATTCGTTCGAAAGAACTTACTCAGTCTCACAGTCTTTATAACAGAGATACAGGGTGAATTGTCGGTTTCGAATAATTATTCACTCGTCCATATAAGTATTAGACTACCCATCGCAGTAATATTTCCTCAAATTTGGTATTGAGCTTACTTGGGACGATGGATTCATTGACCTATCAGGCAGAATGGCAATACAGGTTCAGCTTCAGGAAAAGTCTCATAGTCTTTATAACAGAGATACAGGGTGAATTATCGAATTATAATTATTTGGTAATATTTCCATTCCGCCTGATAGGTTAATGAATCCATCGTCCCAAGTAAGCTACATACCTACCAAATTTGAGAAAATGTTACTTGGTAGTCTAAGACTTATGAAGACTGTGAGACTTAGTGAGTTCTTTCGAGCGATTTTTTGACTGAAATATCAAATAATCATAATTGACACTGGTTTCATAATTCCAATACTCTTCAAATTGAAATATTTTCAACTTCCTGTTTATGATTGTTAGGATGAGAATTGGTGGCGGGAAAACAAAAAGCATCATACACAATTCAGTTTTTCCTTCTCTTCACGATTCTTTTGATGTACTGTGTTAATTATTGAATACAGTGTGTTATTTTAATATTTCGAATAAATGTAAATTTTTCCTGAAGCCGAACCTGGATTTTCACTCCGCCCGATAGGTGAATAAATTTAACGTCCCAAGTATAACCTCCTTACCAAATTTGAGAAAAATATACTGGGTAGGTCAATACATATAGACGAATGAATATTTATTCGAAATCGATAAATCGCCCTGTATCTCCGTTATGAAGACTCTAAGACCTATCAAATATGGTATTTTCAGAACCACCTTGGTGACCCCTATGTACCATTGAAATATTTCCCTTTACCTATGAAACACCCTGTATATCAATCACTTACAAATTCAATCATTCTAATAAAATTCTTATCACCAAGATTAAACAAAAAAACTCAAAATATCAGAGCTGACTGGAATCTTCTCGATACAAGGTGTCTTCTTTCCCTGGAGCCGTAACAACCATTTTCTTCAATTTTATCAACTAGGTACTGTGGTAATAACTTCGAGTTTCTCTCTTTCAGTGAATAAATAATTGGTTGAAAATGAATTTATGACATTTTTCTTTCCAGTGTACTGACATCGGAGAGGAGCGAAGAGAGCGAATCCAGCGAAAGGACGGAGCAAACTGATACCGAGGGAGAGGGAAATTCGGAACCCAGGACTTTGAACGAAATCGAATTGGTCTTCAAGCCCCATCCGACCGAAATGTCGGGCGAGGAGGTGAAAGCTCTCAAAGAAAATTCGATAAGGTTGGTAACACTTAATTCATTTCCATTGATCCTTCAACATTTTATATTCTAAATTTCATGCGAAAATAGTTATTTATGTACCAAGGACGAAAAACTGTCTATTATAAAGTCGAGCCTGCAAATTTTCGTTATCCTACTTCCTTTATTTCTTTTGGTAACTGAATAATGTAGCAGGGTACAGCTTTTGAAGTAATGCCCCTTCATAGCTTTTGTGTTTTTCGATTTTTCATTCCTTGATTAGTAGGTTGAATGTAATTTTTTGTACAGATCGACAAAAAAGAATAATATATTGTTTTGCGCGTGACGAGTGCAAGATTTATTGTCTGATTGCCTGAAATGGCTCATACAGACGGTTTCCCAGGTCTAAGATCAATCAATCAATCAATCAGAATATGCTTTATCATCAAAGAATAATATCTTATTGACAAAGCGTGTATTCATAAATGTAAATTGAATTGATAACATTTGATAAATGTATAAAAATAGTCAGTACCATAAAAAATTGAATTCAATCAAAACAAATTCAGGGTTGCCAAATTTGACACTTTTAAAGGGAAAGCCCTGTTCTAGAATAAGATAGATAAACTGATGTTGGTGGCTGAGGGTCAATACACATGACAAACTCAATGGTGAAAACTGCATATCAATATTTGTCTTCGTTTCAGAGTTACAAAGTGTTTTTTGAAAATGTGCATTTTGAAAGATGGCTACAAATGATTTTATATGCAAATGTTTTCTGTTTTCATGAAAACATTTCCGAATCATTGAGTTTGTGATTGAAATTGATCCCCAGGCAATGAAATCAGTCTTCTTATATCTAGAATTTGCGCTAAAAAAATAGTTTTAGACACTTTTCACACCCTGTACACATATGAGAGATTTCAGGGTCGAGGGTTACGAATTTGAAAATTCAAAGCGGTGCCTTTCAGATTAGCGAATTATTTCATCATTTTCCTCTCGTTTTGACTGAGTATTTATATCTGATCATTTTTATTTATCCAGAAGAGAATTTCTAGTAAAACTTAGTAGTACATTATACACAGTTTATATAATTTAATTTTTCTACTCACATAACTAAAATGGCATTTAGCGTACGGATATGTACCCCGCTAAATGATCGATTAATCACGGATTGTCGATCTGTGATTTATTCAAAATATTAAACACGTTACCATGGCAACACGATTTCTTAAACACATTACCATGGCAACGCAGTTCATTAAACACAGCTTCAGTAATTTGAGACATGTCTGGCCTGTCAATTGTATTAACTGTCAACTGTTATTTTCGATTTTTTTATCATAATTATGCAAACAATATTCGTTTGTATCAGAATTCTTTATTAAAAATATATGCGAAAAGTAGATGAAAGTAAAATCAAAGAGAATGTGCTGGTACTTGCATATCTCCAAGAAGTGTAAAAATGAAGCATCCATCTTTGAGAACAATTAATTTATTCTGCGCTAAGCATGACAATAAACGTGAAACAAAAGTTAGTAAGCAATGGACTGGACACATCTACAACCAATATTACTTATACGTGTCTCGCTGGTTGCATGCAGTTGCATGTATTATGTTCTCAATTCCCATTTCTTTCGAATTATTTTGTAGGTTAGCAGGAATTGCAGGTATGTTAATGTAATTTTCGGAGTTCGTAGAAAAATTATAGTATGTAACGCGTTTATAAACTCTTCTAGACACTCGTTTATTAAACACTCGCTCCGCTCTGCTCCGCTCGTGCTTAAACTACTCGTTACTAAAAGGACGTTTATAACACTTGTTACATAGTATACTATTGTTGAGGAATAAAACACTCTTCTAGACACTCGTTTATTAAACACTCGTTACTGAAAGGACGTTTATAACACTTTTTACATAATATACTATTTTTCATTCAGATACATTAAAACCACGGCCAATGCGACCGTTGACCACCTCCACAAGTACCTCGCGATGCGCCTCACCTTGGACCTCGTCGATTCGCAACTGTCTTCGACGCACAGCCTGCTCAACTTTTGCATTTACATATCGCCAATGGCGGGACAGTATGTCCAGCTCAACGGTAACCAAACTCTGGGACAAGTGAGTGTTTTTTAATACTATTATAAATGGTTATTTGTTGTGTATTTATCCATTCACAGGGTGTTCTCAACGGTAAAGATTTTTTTGAACATTCAGCGGACGCGCTGTCGTAAAATTTACGACAAATACGCCCAAATGTATCCATCACTCACAAAAGCGTCGAACGTAAGTAATTGGTTGTAGATTGTAGATGGGTCGTATAGGCTGGGAGACCTCTCGATCACTGTGACCTAGAAGATCTATTGTGATTACCCTTATCTAGTTTTGGTACTCTAACCCTAGACTTCTGATGAAGCCTAGAATTTTCCTGACGGTTGAATTTTCCACCTCAGCAGGGGTGAGATAGACCTGTTCTAGGTGGTTCAGCCTTTGGCGGACTAATACTTCACATGAGCAAAGTATGTGTTCCGCGGTTTCGGTCGCATTGTTACAAAAGCGGCAAGTGTCAGTCTCCGCCAGGCCCATCTTTTTGAGGTGGTACCTCAGAGGGCCGTGTCCTGTGAGAAAGCCTGTGATAAGCTTTAGCTCTGGTTTGCTGAGGCTGAGTAGCTCTTTGGCTCGGTTCTGCGAATGGTTGATGAACCTTTTCGCTTGTCGTTGACCTAGAGTTGCTCTCCAGTAGGAGGACTTTTCAATTTCTTCCCATTTCCTGAGTTCTTCCTTTAGGTGACATTTGCTTATCCCACAAAAAGGCTCAGGACCAAAAAGTGCAGAAGCTGCACCTTTTTTTGCAAGGCGATCAGTTGCCTCATTTCCTATGATTCCTTCAAGCCCTGGAACCCACATAAGTGTGACTTTGTTGTCCTCCTCCAGTTGCATGAGTTTTTCAAAGCAGTCCCATGTTATCTTTGATGTGAAAACAAATGATTTCAGGGCTTTTAGTGCGGTTTGGCTGTCTGAGCAGATATATATGTTGGCACCCCTCAGACATTTGCTCAAGCACCTTTGGGCGCAAAGGTTGATGGCATGTATTTCATCTTGGAAGATAGTGGGGGGGGGTGACCTAAGGCTCCAAATAGCCTACATCCGGTTCCATATACACCCGCGCCTACCCCTTCTTCTATTTTCGAACCATCGGTGTACCAAACACGGGGGCCCCATAATTGGTTAGAGATTAATATAACGAATTCAATGATATCGGGTTTGATTGGATTATTCCGAACTATTACAAAGATATTATTTGCAATCGCAGTTTCCATATGATCAATGAGTGTGACAGAGATAGAAGTTTCTATATTGCGTCGACACACCCATTGATCTCCAATAATACGTATAGGTACTTGTTAGGGTACGGAATCAAGTTCCTATAAAATGTCTCAAATCTGTATACTTCTCTTTGATCTATTCTAAACTTGAATATTTGATTTCTGTATGGGGTTCAACAAAACTATCAATTATAATGCCTCTCAAAACTCTTCAAAATGAAATTAACAAATGTATATACAGACTAAATTATGTGGAACCTACTATGAACCTATACAGAGGAAGAGAGTTATTTGATATAGATTCACTATATAAATTGATGTCGTTCATTCATTCAGTTAAACATTTTCTAAAGCATTCAAATTTGGTTTTCCAAATTGATAGTAATCACCACAACCATACAACTAGACAAGCAGATCATTTTTCTGTCAAGAAAATTAAATCAGATATTGGTAAAAAATTCATGTCATTATTTTCAATAAGTTCATCATCCTTATTGAATACTTTGGAAGACGCACCAAAATGACAAGGTCTCTTATTTCAAGTATAGGCCGTCTTTGTCAAGAAGTTATTCTTGCTCGAGGCGGAAATACTCGCTACTGACTCCTTCATTTAACTTGTGACTTAGCATTCTGTTTCGTTTTTTTCATTATTGTTAAATTTGGATATTATTTCTCCATAAAATCATGTTATGCAATAAAATGGTGTATCTCAAGTAATAGGAAATATGATAGAGTGAATTCAAAGAAGAAATGTTGAAAAACGATAAAGCTGAAGTGTAATTTCAATTCTAACTTGATATAGTAACTATTACACTACAGGGTATACAAATTTCATGGAAAAAAAACACGTTATAATTGCTGAACCCAGTATATGCGAATACAGTTCACACACCAAAGTTCAGAAGGGGATGACCTGTCATTCAAAACAAAAATTCAAATCGGACAAGTCAGACCGTCTGACGAAAATAAATCTCAAACTTTTGGCTACTCATTGGTGGTTTCAATAATAATAATAATAATAATAATTGAGGAGCTTTATTGGATACCCAAAAGGCTACCGACCGAGGTCCTTCAGCCTTTGTTAGACAGTGTCTATACATTGAGTTCAAATTCATCATTATTGTATGTACAGGATATATGGAATTATTAAATTTGCTAGTGTAAAAAAAAAGAAGAGAAGTCTATTGTGAGGCAAGAATTTTGAAGGAATTTCAGTCTTCTGAATTGATTAAGCATTCCAATAGTGTGTTTTCCGGAAACTTCCGTCTTGGGTTCACTGTTGGATCTCTCTAGTTGTTTCATTTCTGGGAGAAGTGTAGATGGAAGAAAACTTATGTCGGTGCATGAGAGGAAATTTTCATGACAAACACAAGAGTAAAAACGTTTCAGAGTTACAAGGTGTTTTTAAAAAATGTGCATTTTTGAAAAACGGTTAAACCTCATTTAAAGAAAATATTCTTTTTCGATGAAAATATTATTTCTCTGGAACTGAATTGGGATTTTTTCCAGGTGAATGACAAATATTGGAAGGTGAACAAACCATTGGAAATGTTCTATTCCTGGAAAAAGACATAGGGAATGCGTAAGGGGCCCAAAAAGGCTCCCTAAAAGGGATCGATGTAAAGTAGAACAATTATTATTGTTCAGGGGCGGAGAATTGTATATCGGAATATTGAAAGTTTTACTGAAAATTCGGACGGAATCATGATTTTTTTCTCATCTTTTAACTCGGAATTAGTTATACAGGGTGGGCCCTTAGTGCGTTGGAGCTCGATTGCTGGAGTTCTATGATAGTTAAAAACTTGATTCGATCACGAATGTGAATGAGACAACAAGGTCCATAACTATAAATTATTGCCGCATATACAGAGAGTACCGGAAAAAATCTAGAGGGTCAGGATCACCTTTTCAAAATATAATGCCCTGTATATTAGCACATTTTTTGAAGCATCCCTATGATCTTCATCCACTCCCAAATCTAGATCATTTCGAAGTTATTAATTCTTTTGTCGAAATAATGTAATCTGCAGATCCATGCCGAAAAAATCACTGTAGTCACAATTATTAAATTCAAGAGAGAATGAACATAATATCATTTGCTGGAAGAATGCGTGATTTTTCTGTAGAATTTTTATGCCCTCGAATTATACAGGGTGGCTAAAAATGATTTTCCAATTCGGAACTCTTGGAAGTGATTTTTCTCGAGTTTTTCAAATGGAACACCCCATACATTTTTAGGCCATTTGGTGTTAAATCGAAACACGAACATCTTTTATTTCAACATCCATATTGATATTTGTAACCATTTTTGAATTATTGAACTTTGAGAATTCCAGGTTGGCCTTTTTCATCGATACACATTCTCATCTGTTACTAAAACATCGAAAGACCAATCAATAAATCAGTAAACCAGTTCTGCTTTAATCCTGGTTTGAATTCTATTAATGAAAAAACTGGTTTACTGATTCATTGATTGGACTTTTGATGTTTCAATAACAGATAAGACTGTATATCGATGAAAATGGCCAACCTGTAATGTTCAATGTTCAATAATTCAAAAATGTTTACAAATATCAATTGTGATTTTTTCGGCATGGATCTGCAGATGACATTATTTCGACAAAAAAATTAATAACTTTGAAAAGATCGAGATATAGTCAACAGTATTATAGGAGTGGATGATGATCACAGGGATGCTTAAAAAAATGTGCTAATATATAGAGCATTCCATTTAAAAAAAGTGATCCTGACCCTCTAGATTTTTTCCGGTATATGCCGCAATAATTTCTAGTTATGGACCTTGTTGTCTCATTCACATTCGTTTTTGAATCAAATTTCTAATCATCATTGACTCGCTAATGCCCCACCCTGTATATTAATTCAAATTGAGTGTTTGTTAACTTTCATAGTTTGCTTAGAAATATGAGATGATGTCCAAATGAAGTGTTCAGTAGTTACCTAGACTTTGAAACAGACATAATTATGTAATCATGAAGACAAATTAACTTTGTCTTATTATTCCATGAACTTTATGAAATTTACAAACATATGCTTAAGATATAGTAGTCATTAGAAGTCAATGTTATAGTGCCTATTTATATTGCAAAATATATTGATGCTAAAATAATGGTTTTTTATTAATATTTTTATTTCATTTTTTTTTGGTGTGTTGTTTTTGAGCTACTGTAATTCATGCAGATATTTTTATTAATAACTAAGCTATACAGAGAGCTATATGGAATAGCTCCTTTACCCTTATTATCAACGGCCAGGTAGACTCGCGGACGAAGCGTCAATGTTCTTATCCGAGTTCGCTTGCCGGTCGTGGGTTCAATTCCCCGCGACTGCAGAAGATTTTTTTGATGGCTCAAAAATGTGTTTGGGATCACACGTTAAAAGGTGAAACCCCGTCATTCCTTGCTCGCACAAGTTTCTCGAAGATTTCTGAGGGTTGCTCGTTAGGGGGCAACTGAATAACGGAGGAAACAATTTTTGAACAATCATTTACTTTTTCTACTCACATAACTAAAATGGCATTCATCGTAGGGATATGTATCACGCTAAATGATCGATTAATCACGGATTGATGATCTCTGATTAAACAAATTACCATGGCAACACAGTTTTTTTAACACACCTTCAGTCGTTTGAGTCCGGTGTTGCAACCAGAATTATTCGAACAATTTCTGTTTGCATCAGAAATCTTCATTAAAAATGTATGTGAAATGTAGACGAAAGTGAAATTGAAAAGAATGGTTTAGATACTTGCACATTTCCAAGAACTGTGTGAGATATAGGTTGTTAATGTTAAAAAATTAAATTCGAATGTTTCAACAAATTTTTCAACGATTCACTTCGAAAATCGGTATCTTGGGGTTTTTCGGGATGCGAAACCGGAATACCTTTTCACTGTGGACAATCAGAGAGCGCTTACCAATGCTCTTCTTATGGATTAGATTGGTCATAATTTTTTTGTCAGTGTAGTTTTCTCACTTTTTCCGTCAAAGATATGATTTTCTAAACATTTCTAAGCAAAAAAGGTACACCTGCTGTAAAAATCCGCTGAAGTGAACACTATTCGAGATATTTTAAATGTTGGATGCCGCACTGGAATATTCAAATTATTTCGAATAAAAAGTTTTTGCTGTGATTTTTGTGGATGTAAGTTGCTCAGTGAATTTCCAGTTCAGGATGTATCTTTCAAATACTTAATTATTCTCAAGTAATATTCATTTTATAAACATAAACAAAAAAGGTTTTGTGAAAATACAGGGCGAAGTTAATTTTCTGTAGAGGAGCACTACGAAAATGCACTTAACCCTGATATAGTGAGTCAAGGTGAGCTTTGCAGTGTTCAGCCTATTGATTGATAATATAGACAGTTGGAGAAAACTGAGAGGAATGGGATGATTATCTCCACAAATTTTTATTAGTTTTTTTGGGCAGCCTGGTAGAGGAATATCTAGACTTGTGTTTTAAATAGTTCATTTTTAACTTCAGACCTGAAGCAAGGAATGCTGAGGTTCCTCATACTTTCAGGAACGGACTTATACAGGGTGATCCACGGTGGATGGCCTAGTAGAAGTATCTGAAGAACGAAAAGACAGAACATTCTGAAAGATGGGATGCTTCGATAATTGAACATTCTCTATCCGTCTAAAATATTTTCATTGATACAGTGTTGCCACTCCTATCAGAAACAATTAGCAACTTCGTTATTTTAAATGGAGCACCCTGTATTTTATTGCATTTTTAGATTTTTCCTGGAGAGCTGATTTCATCAATGTATCACACTTGGGGTCTAGCAGGAATGAATACAGATTATAGGGTGTTCAAAATCGAGATTTTTCAATTTCAGGAGTTTTTTGTGTCTTAACTATTCATTATCAATCAAAACGGCTTACATGTCCCCATATCAACTTTCGATTCACTACCTACTGACATTTAATTGGAACAGATACAGGGTGACCAGAATTCTGAATCTTGAAGCACCCTGTATTTTTTCCAATAAATTTCCAGTAGATAGTGAATCAAAAGTTAAGATAGGGACATGTAAGCCGTTTTGATCAATAATGAATAGTTTCGACACAAAAAAATCCTAAATTTGAAAAATCTCGATTTTGAACACTCAATATCTTTGTAATCATTCCTGCTAGACCCCAAGTGTGATGCATTGATGAAATCAGCTCTTCAGAAAGAATCTAAAAATGCAATAAAATACAGGGTGTTCCATTTGAAATAACAAAGTTACTAGTTGTTTCTGATAGAAGTGGCAACACTGTATCGATGAAAATATTTTAGACGGATAGAGAATGTTCAATTATCGGAGCATACAAATTTTCAGAATGTTCTGTTTTTTCGTTCCTCAGATACTTCTAATAAGCCATCCACCGTGGATCAGCCTGTATAACTGATAAATTTGGTATGGCCCGAATATTTCAGTTTTGAATTCAGGTGGGGATAATAAACCTTTAAATCGTAGATTTCAGTTATGTAATCTGTCCTGGATGACATTTTATGGTGCAAATATGTAGGAATTTCAACTGAAATAATTTTGTGGTATAAAGTGACAGCGTGATGAATTCTTCTATTCTGCATACTTAACCATCCAATCTGTTAATTTATGTGATATTCTCTGATTTCTTCTCACACCATAAATCAGCCTTGAACAAGAATTATGCACTTTTTGAATTTTGTTTTTATATACAGTTGTTGAGTTTGGACCATAGACGGAGTCAGCGAAGTTGAAATGTGATAGGACTAATGCTTCACATAGTTTTATTTTGATATTTCGAGGAACTAAATGCATGTTTCCGCGAATTAGTTTCTGTGAGCTATATGCACGTTGAATCGATTGATTAACAGGTTTTTCGAATTTTAAGTCTCGATCTATGAAAATGCCAAGGTTTTTAGCTTTTTCAACCATTGCGATTGGTTCGTTATTGATTTCTATATGAATAGGAAAAGGAAGTCTAGCCTGGTTATACATCGAACCAAATAACATTACATTAGATTTAGCGCAATTTATCAGCAAACAATGTTCAGAAGCTAACTTAATAAACGCCACCAGTTCCCTATTAATAGATTCACGGGCATTATCCGCCAATTGCGGTGGAAAATCATGATAAATCTATGTGTCATAAGCATATACATACAAATTGATGGTATATATCGAGAAAAGCAGAGGACCCAAAATGGATCCTTGTGGCACCCCTGAGTTCAATGTCATATATTCGGACTGTTTTGATTTTTATAAGGCCAACAGCCGTTTCTGAAAAATCTATATACATTTTTTTGGAGTGTATACTGGTCATTTTTTTATTATTATTTAAACTGGGCATATTCAGACTTAGGTAAGTTGCTTCAAATCGGCTTATTTTGACTTGTGCTGGGATTTTGTACAGACCTTTATTAGCTACAGGTGTTCTTTGAACCTTCGTTTTATAGGTCGCCTAGTTTGGCCTCTATATGTTTCACCACAATCATTACAACAAATTTCGTAAATTCCTGACTTTTCAAATGTGTCCACTTTATCCTTCAGTTTATTGCCTCACCTAACCTGACCCAGACTGAGTATACGTTATCAAAGCCCAGCAAGTTTCTGAACAATGCACAATATCATGGAATATAATCATTAACTTAACGAGTAGCAGGTCTATATAGGTATACCTACCTAAACATATTGAAAATATATGTTGCTTAATATCTTCACAATTAATGGG